CGAACCTGCGGGCTCAGGCAATCCACTCACCTCAGCCTCCCAAAGGCGCAGGGTTACAGGCTGAACCACCGAGCCCGGCTAATTTTTTATTTTTAGAGACAGGATCACTCTGTGTTACCCAGGCTGGAGTGCAGTGGCTATTTACAGGTGTGAGTGTAGCGTACTACAGCCTACAACTTCTGGGCTCAAGTGATCCTCCCACCTCAGATTCCCGAGGAGCTGGGACTATAGGCACATGCCACAGCACCTGGCTTTACATTTGTTTTACTCTATCATTTTTGCTCCCTTATTTCTCTCTGTTTCTCTTTTAACTGCTATTTATTTGTTGAAGAAATTGGGTTGTTTGTCCTGTAGAGTCTCCTGTATTCTGACATTTGCTGATTGTATCCCTATGGTATTGCTTAGTTTGCCTTTTATTTCTTGTAAATAAGTAGTTAGAACTAGTCTTAATTAGCCAGAGATTTAAGTTTGGAGCAAGGATATGACGCAAGTGTTTTATATACATCCTGTTGCATCTCACCAGAAGGTACAAAATATCTGGTTGTCGCTCCCTCTTTTTTAGTTGGGGCCTTGCTCTATCACCCAGGCTGTAGTACAGTGGCATGATCACGTCTCACTGAGCCTCGACCTTCTGGGCTCAGGTGATCCTTCCACCTCAGCCTCCCAAGTAGCTAGGACTACACGTGCACACCACCACACCCTGCTAATTAAAAAAAAATTTTTTTTTTCTGTAGAAACGAGGTCTTGCTATGTTGCCTAGGCTGGTCTCTAACCCCTGAGCTTAGCCAGTCTTCCTGCTTCAGTCTCCCAGAGTACTGGGATTGCAGGCATGAGCCACACGCCCAGCCTGGTTGTCTCTTTTTATGTTATTAAGATTGACCATGGAGTTCAGATATTATCAGATGAATCCATCATTATAAAGTTCCCCCATCAGCTTTACCATTAGTGGTTTTAGCAGCATGTTCTAGGTCCATTATTTCATCATTAGAGGTTACAAAATGGTGATCTTCTAATTCTACCATTGTTCATTTATTAGCTAGAATTCTTCTATTGAGAATGATTTTTCCTCCTGTCAACTGTTTCATTACAATGAGGTAAAGTTTGTGTAAGAAAGGAAGGATAAATTTACCAATTTTCAGAATAATGAGTAGGTTCCCCAGCATTCTCCAAAGGTTACTAATTATTTTTTTTCTATCTATAAAGTTTTAAAATATATTTAAGTGTTTTAATCTATTGTAGTTATTATCCTTATTAGTGTTCAAACTGTCCTATTTTTGGCCATTGATAGCTTCTTCAAGATT